CCCCCGTGAGCCCTCCCAAGCCCCATAACCCCCCATGAGCCCTCCCCAGCTTAGTAACTGCCCCCCACAAGCCTTCCCCAGCCCCGTAACTGTCCCCCTGCCCCACAGATGCCCCGTATCTGGCTGGACTACTGCCAGTTCCTGGTGGACCAGGGCCGCATCACGCGCTCGCGCCGCACCTTCGACCGGGCGCTGCGGGCGCTGCCCATCACCCAGCACCACCGCATCTGGCCCCTCTACCTCCAGTTCGTGCGCAAGTACCCCCTGCCTGAGACCGCTGTGCGCGTCTACCGCCGCTTCCTCAAGGTATGGGGCACACCCCACAGTGTCACCCGCGGCCCGTGGTGGCACCTGGGGTGGTGGAACCATCCAGTGGTGTGACTTTGGGGTGATGGAACATCCGCTGGTGTCACCCCGGGGCAGCGGAGCACCCATTGGTGTCACCCCAGGGCGATGGAACACCCAGTAATGTCACCCCAGGACAATGGAACACCCAGAGGTGTCAGCCCAGGGCAGTAGAACACCCGGAGGTGTCACCCTCAGGTGATGGAACACCCAATAATGTCACCCCAGGGCAGTGGCACAGCCTGCGGTGGCACCTGGGGTGGAGGAACCACCCATTGGTGTCACCCCAGGGCGATAGAACACCCATTGGTGTCACCCCAGGGCAGTAGAACACCCAATAATGTCACCTTGGGGCAGTGGAACGCCCAATAATGTCACCCCAGGGCAGTGGCACAGCCTGCGGTGGCACCTGGGGTGGTGGAACCATCCAGTGGTGTCACCCCAGGGCGGTGGCACACCCCATGGTGTCACCCCAGGGCGATGGAACACCCAATAATGTCACCCCAGGGAGGTGGCACACCCACTGGTGTCACCCCAAGGCCATGGAACACACACTGGTGTCACCTCAGGGAAGTAGAACACCCATTGGTGTCGCTCCAGGACAGTAGCACAGCCCGCGGTGGCACAGCCCGTGGTGGGGGGGTGACAGTGGTGACATGGGGTGACATTGTCCCCCTGTGCCCCCCCCAGCTGAGCCCCGAGAGCACAGAGGAGCACGTGGGGTGTCTCCATGGGGTGGCTGCACCATGAGGGGGTGACAGTGGCCCCCTGGAGGCACCTGCAGTGGTGGAACCACGCAATGGGGTGACCGTGGGGTGGTGGCACACCCGTTGGTGTCACCCCAGGGCGATGGAACACCCAATAATGTCACCCCAGGGAGGTGGCACACCCACTGGTGTCACCCCAAGGCCATGGAACACACACTGGTGTCACCTCAGGGAAGTAGAACACCCATTGGTGTCGCTCCAGGACAGTAGCACAGCCCGCGGTGGCACAGCCCGTGGTGGGGGGGTGACAGTGGTGACATGGGGTGACATTGTCCCCCTGTGCCCCCCCCAGCTGAGCCCCGAGAGCACAGAGGAGCACGTGGGGTGTCTCCATGGGGTGGCTGCACCATGAGGGGGTGACAGTGGCCCCCTGGAGGCACCTGCAGTGGTGGAACCACGCAATGGGGTGACCGTGGGGTGGTGGCACACCCGTTGGTGTCACCCCAGGGCAGTAGAACACCCATTGGTGTCACCCCTAGCTGGTGGCACAGCCATCGGTGTCACCTCTGGGGTGGTAACACAGAGTAGGCCACCTCCGTGGGGTGGCTGGACCTTGGTGGGGTGTGACAGTGGCTCCTCGGGGGGTGGCACTGGTGCCATGGGGGGGTGACAGTGGTGATGGGGGGTGACATTGTCCCCCTGTGCCCCCCCCAGCTGAGCCCCGAGAGCACAGAGGAGCACGTGGGGTGTCTCCATGGGGTGGCTGCACCATGAGGGGGTGACAGTGGCCACCGGGAGGGTGACTCTGGTGACACGGGGGGGTGACTCGTGCCAAGGGGATGACATTGCCCCCCTGTCCCCCCCCCAGCTGAGCCCCGAGAGCGCGGAGGAGTACGTGGGGTACCTGCGCTCCGTGGGGCGGCTGGACGAGGCCGCCCAGCGCCTGGCCCAGCTGGTCAACGACGAGCGCTTTGTCTCCAAGGAGGGCAAGTCCAACTACCAGGTGGGCTACCTGGGGGGGGGCACACCGGGGGGGACTGGGGGGCTACT